AGAAATGAGTTGCAATATTTATAATTTATAAATAGCAGGAGATGTGTTATAGATATCAGGAAAAATTAATAAACAGCTTTTTCTTTTTTTGCTACAGTTAATGAAACAGACTCAGATCACATAGAAGATCATCATGGAGTGTCTGCGACTAACCATGACCGAAGTCCTCCCAGTCCTCATCCATCAGGTGAGCATGAGTTGTTAGAAGTGCAATTTATTGAAGATTTTATGCATCCCGTTATATCAAATATTGATTATTTAAAAAGTTAATTTTAAAAAAATTCGCAATACAGTGAATGGAACAGACTTATATCATGCAGAAGATTATGCACCCACCGGGGCTAATGGCCGGTGATCAAAGTCCTCCTGATCCTCCTCCATATTCAGGTGAGTTTTGTGTGTGTGTGTGTGTGTGTGTGTGTGCAGCTAATTTTATGTTTTGATTTCTACTTGTAACAAAAAAAAATAGTGTTATTGTGGAAATGACAAAAATAATATTTACTGATTAATTAGCTAATTAATGTCAGATGCAGACAAAAAAGCTCCATGAAAGAGAGGCTTTGAAGACTCCGAAGCTGAAATAGCTGGTCGACGTGGAGGCAGAAGTGGCTGAGTTTAATTAATTATGTGGGGATAAAAAATCAACTGTTTTTGAAGTATGAGATCAAAATCAAATAAAAATAAAGTTGAAGATTTGTGAGTCTCATATCTCAATTTCATATTTTTGATAATATTCCCATATCTTTGCATTCAGCTTGATTTTGAAATGTGAAATCAATGTAAGGTTTTATTTTTCTCCCTTCATTTTATGCATTCAGCTTTTTTTTCCCCCCTAGTCTCTTTATTGCCCCAAAAGGGCATCATTTTATCTTTTTCTTTTTGAATTAGATGATTGAGTATTAACAATACGATATTACAAGCCGAATTAAACAAGTAACTTTCGATTTACGAATAAGCATTCACGTATCTTGTTGTAAAATAACATTGTCTTCACTTTTCTAAAAGGCACTAAACAAACATTGTAACTGATTTTGGAAACGACATCAACCACCGACTGAAAAAGGGTAGTTGTAGAAACGAACAAATTAACGTAAGAAACTTAACAAACTCAACGTTAGAGTTTTGTCAACGTCTCATTACAACGAAAAGGAAGGGGGGGGGGGAAAAAACAGTGAAATTGGCACCGAAAATTTATCTAAATATATATATATATATATAATCATTGAAAATCAGTTGCAAATAATGGTGTACAAAAACCAATAAAAGAATTGAAACAGAAAGTGTTAGCTTTATTTTTATTTAAACTAGTAAGTATTTTGTTACGCTGATTGTTTGTTTTTTAAAGTTAAAAGAAAAGGTGTACTATTAACAAAATCCGTTTCAATATTACGTACAGTGAACCAAAATCCTCATCATTGATGACAAAATCCGTTTCATTTAATGAATGCTTTCTCAAGAATAGCAAAAATAAGGTCACAAAAATCTCACCATTAACTACGTACAAAAAGCTTCTTCCTAATTTAAAGTCAATGTCAGATTGAGAAACGGAATTACAACCGACCCAAAATTATATTAATTTCATCATTTACTGCATTAATTAAGAGGCTATAAAAGCAGTTATTCATTTAGTGATGATCTTCTAAAACAAATCTTCATTTCATTTCTCTTCCATGGCTTCTAATGTTCTGCGCTTCCTTTTGCTTCTTCTGCTTTCCTCTGCGATCCACTGCTTCGCTAATAACATCGCAAATGGTAATTATTTCTCTTCCCTCTTACTCAAATTAACCAGCACAAAAAAAAAATTGTAATTTTCTTCTAAACTTAATTTCAACTTCCAACTTAAACAATAATTTCTGTGGGTTTGTTAATTTCTTCTTCTTGTTGTTGTTGATCTTTGATATTTATCAGAGAATGAAAAAGAGCTTTACCTAATTGAAGATTATGGACGCGCGGGGCCTAATCCTAAACATACTCCTCCTTCTAAACTTTTTGGCCTAATCCTAAACATTTACCTAATTAAATTTATTTCATTCATATGATTATTATTATCATTATTTGTTAACTCTTAATTTTAGATATTTCACTCTTTTGTAAAATAAAATCATGTTAACGATGTAAATTATGTCAGCAAATGTTGAAGGCGTTGATAATTTTTTTTAGATAATTAAATTTTTTTGGACCAAAAATTTCTTACATAAAATTGACCAAAAGGAGATGTGAAACGAAATGAAAACGTACTCCAAATTTTGTGTGTGCGTGAGTGAGAGAGAGAGAGAGATTATTGTAATACGAGCAACTAACTTGTTTGGAGTTGAAATTGAAACTTAAAAACGATTGATTATGCAATTTTTGTTTAATAGGGAACCGTAAATATTTATTGGAGATAGAAGATTACGGATCCACAGGACCTAATCCCAAGCACACTCCTCCCAGACATCCTCCATCTTCAGGTGATGAGTTGTGCAGTTAAGATACACTCTTTTCCGATCCTTTTTATGTTATAATTTTCTGAATACGTCTCTGATTTTTTTATAAGTTACATTTTGAAAATATTTAAAATTTTAATGCGTTTTTTCATCTTAACCCCTAATTATTAATTACATGTCTCTCACTCACCCTCTTTATAAATAATAATACTATATTTAGAGAAATATATTGTTTACATATTTATTGTGTTTAATTAATTATAACCGCCGCTCTATATGATTTAGCTATTTGTATTATTATTTGTAACTTGTAAAAAAATGACGGATAGTTTACCTATTTGAGTTTATTGAAAAAAAATATACAATTCGTGTTTATTAGGATCAGGGAACAACAGATATTTATACGAGATGGAGGATTACGGATCGACAGGACCTAATCCCAAACACACTCCTCCCAGACACCCACCATCTTCAGGTGAGTTGTCCAGCTAATTAAAATATATATTATATATGTCCAATCTTCTACTTATTAAGTTTATTATATAAGGTTAAATTTCTATCTATATGGATGAATATTGTCGTATTTAGTATTCCCTGTGATCTTTATTATAATCTTCAAATAATTAATTCACGAATAATAAATAAATAGTTAAAATTAGTTAAAAATAATAAATATGTTAAAAATACAGTTTTATTTCTAAATATGCTTTTATAATAAATGAGAAAAAAGATGAAACAAAATATACAAAGAAATGTGACAAAAGAGTATGACAAATAAGAGAATAAATAATTAAGAATAAAATTAAAAAATAAATTAAATATTTAGATAAATCTCAAATTAAAATTTATAAAATGGATGACATTCTTTTATGAATTTGAAATTTATAAATAGGAACGATAGAGTATATATTTAAATCTGCATAATCCAGCAAACTGTCACGGGCACATAATCACGCGCATGTGTGTCCAATCGATAGCCTAACTTTATATTGACAACTCTAGCGATATGAGAAAATAGTCAAAATGCTATATGGCTGTTCGGAAAATCCTTGACTTACTTATTAATCGCATCTTAATTACTCTTAAAATACTCTTAACTATGAATTCTGATATGGTGCTCCTAACATAATCTCATCATTTAGTGCGGACGCCTTAAAGCCCCATATTTAAGGCATTGAACCATGCAAAATTTCTTTGACTTTAAATGAAAGTGACGTGAAGTTGTGACTTATTTTAAAGCCGGTGATTAATTTTAAATCATGGGGTTGACTATTAGTTTTTTTTTTTTTTCAATTTGAAGTAAACTTCGAAATGTTGCTTCTTAGTTATTTACTACTCCCTCCGTTCCTTATTATAAGAGACATTTGATACTTATGGTATGTTCCTATATATAAGAGATATTTAAAAGTTGTCTCTACGTTTTTGTGTTGATTTCCTATTTTACCCATATTTATTATCTCAACTCACACTCTCTCTCCCTCCCACTTCTCTTTCTTTTAATATTTTAATTGTTCTCTCTCATGCTCTCTTTCCTTATTAATGAGGGCATTTTTAGAAAACAAATTATACTTTTTACACATTAATTATTCTTAACTAATTTTAACTGTTTTTTTATCAACGTACTTCGGTTATTTGTCTCTTATAATAAGGAACGGAGGGAGTAGTATCATATAATGAGCTCATCACATGCAAATTTCATACTTACAATATTCTTAAACATCAAATCAAAATATTAATGGATTCAATTAAAAATTAAATAAATATTACGAAAAATAAGTGAAAAGCCTTTGTTTGAATTTTACAAAGACATATCAGGTATAGTCCATAAAATTTTTAAATATGAATTTTTTACTGCAATTTAGTAAATATTACAGTTTTAAAACAAATTTTAAGCTTTTCATATTATATTTTTTGATGAAAATATCATACACAAATATAAATGTTTTATGATAATTCAACATGTGATCATGCAATTAATCAAGTTTTAAAAATACTATCTTCGGTCCCTAATATAAGACCTAGTTAACTAATTTGAGGATATTAAAAAAATTAATTTAGTTATTTGTAATAAATACGTGTTGTCTTTTTTAAAATATTCTCATTAGTCATGTGTATTAGCTAAAACTACTATTTAATAAAACTTTTAATATGTGCAACTACTACAATGACTATTTTAAGAAAAATTAGATAAATATAAGAAACAAAGTGGATTGAGATATTATATTTAAGATCAAATTGAATATCAAACTAACTTTTACATTAAGAACAAGGGATAATATCTATCTATAAGTCATGGTTCATTAAAAATTGAATGTCATGGGTAAGAATATACCTTACCTCTATCACCTACATATCGTATGTATATAAAAATGGCGTTGACCCAAAATGAACGGGCTAAGATGAGTTAGGGATAGAGTTTGTGCTGATGTTGAACGTGTAACCCACAAATAATTAATAATAGTAATAATATCAAATATCACATTATAAATAAAACTCTGATATTTTCTCTCTCTGGTCTCTCTCTATAAATACATATCTCTGTCATCACCAACTCATAACTAATAAGAAGAAAAAAGGGAAAGAGATCAATGGCTTTGGGTTTGGGAGGTCGCTATTTAGGCCTTTGCCTTCTGCTTGCTTTCGTGCTTGTCTCTAATGCTCGAACCACTCTTTTCTTCTCTCAACGTGAGTACTTCTTTCTTTTCTACTTCTTAAAACTTAATATGTTGATTTTTTTTTAAATTCCTGGTAAGTTTTGAATATGTTCAGAATTAAACTAATAAGGTGTAAGAGGCTCTACTACGGTACGGTTTGTTTTTTTGCCAGTTTGATAAGCTATTTCTGGGGCGGAAAGGTTTCCTTTCTTCAGTCATTTTGAATCATATCTGTCAGCTGAAATGCACGCAGAATCGAGGTTTTCTGGTTTTCATATGTAGTTTACTTAGAACAAGCATGCTCATATATGTGTGTGTGGGTGCGCCCCTCTTTTTTCCTTTCTTATATGAATCAAAATCTGTCCAAGAAAAATGTTTGCTTTCGAGGAAAAAATAAAACATGAAAGAAAACATATAGTCACCTATCTTCAGTCTATAATAAACCTGGCAAGTTTTGGTTGCGCGGTTCTGAAATTGTCTCAAACATACCTACCATGGGAAAATAATTCATTAAGAAGTTGTCTGTTTTAAATGGTTCAAAGCAAAGGAACAAGTTCCTAGATATGTACGTTTGGTTGACTAAGTGGTTGGATAAGTTCAATGTATACGTCGGTCTCCCAAAAGACAGTCACGGATTATGGAAAAGAAAATGTTCAATTAGGATAATATTTGCTCTTGTTTCTCTCAAAATCTTCAACACTACGTTTATATATGTCCACTAATTAAACTTCTCATATTCCAATGACTAATTCTATAGTAATCATTTCATCTCATATACTTTCTAGTTTTTTTTTTTTTTTTGCCTTCATGTATTCTAGTTTTTGCCTTCATATATTCTAGTTGAACAACCCAAATTATCCATTATATCCCAATATATGGTTTATGCTCATCGCTATTACCCATCATTTTATTACGCGAACCCGTGAGAGGAAATATATTTCTTTAGAAATACTTTGCTTTATAGTTCATATATATGTTCTTATTCTTGACGATGACTTAAAAAATATATGTTCCTTCTTATATGAATGCAAAATAATGAAAATTATCTTGTCATCCATATATATATATATATATATATCAGAGTTTACCGATTAATTATAATGAAGATTATATTGGTAAATATAATATATGCAGATGATGAAACAACAGAGATGAATGTGGCAGGAAGGTCCTTGAAAACGATCAGCCTTAACGACTATGGTGAAACCAGGGCAAATAGTAGACATGATCCTTCAAGGCGCGGAGGCAGAAAAGGTTGATCCATGAATTTAAAATTAATTTAGATTTTGTGAAGTGAATAATTTGTGTGTAAATGCTCCTTATATGTACATGAGAGATGGAAATAAGATATTACAGAGAGGATAAAATTAGAGAATGTGAATCTCATAATTCATATTCTCACACTTGTTGTAATCTTTCTGTCTCTCCACTTTAAAGAAAACTATTACCTATATTTCTGATTTACCCTATTAGAGTTTATATGTACTCATTTTAAATATTTGTCAAACTAATTAACCAGATCACAATGCACATATAGCTTTAGTATATCAAAATTAGCAGCTGTTATTAATAAAATAAAATGATGTCACATGTTTGGCCTTTACTATCGTGAAAAACTAGAAGGAGCTCGTGATGGTAGCATGTGAAGATCAAGAAAGGGAAGTTTTAGTATTTTTATAAAGCTGCTAATCCCCATATGAACACTGTTTTTGCATGTCACGTGCACGCGAATAACCAACCAACCATATAAAGAAGCTTTAATAATACGAATGGTCAAAACTCAGAAGTTCTCTTTATAATTGACTCTGCATCGTGAAAGAACCTAACAAAGAAAAGCACAAAGCTTTTGTAAATCGTTTCCCTGCTGGTCAAAGACAGAAACCACATGGTTTTATATTAATGTCTTTAACTAGTTAAATTAGCAGCATTTCAAACACACATTATTCAGAATTGTACAACAAATCTTAACACTGTTGGTTAACAGAACAACCACCGCAACACAAGCAATTGATTTCTTATTCTAATTTGAAACTTGAACTCCTTTAAATTAAACTTTGTCTGAAACGCCAAACAGTTAATATTTTCATATCAGAATAGCTTGAAAAGTGAGGACTTGGAGGTTTTCTGACTTCCCAGCCAATGTTGCATATGGACTCCAATTGCATCCAAGTACAAGCTACTCCTCCCATGGAAACCCACCACTTTCCCTTCTGTTGTAGTTGAAGTGAAAAACGTCCCTACTTCCTCACCGTAAGGCCCATACTTTCCTCTGCTTGTAAAGAAACTCAGTGACTTTATCACTACTTGCCGCTCATCTTTAGCGATTGGTCCATAATACCCACATACGCAAGTCAGTGTCTCATGTGGGTACTCCAATTTTATCTGAGTTCATAGTAATTAACAATTGATTGAGTCTAGCAGAAGATGGAGCATGGGGAGACTATACAAAGGATATATAAAAAATGAAATGCGCTTTAACAGAAGTGGAAAACTATCTTTGATATACATACCCGGTGCATTGTTTCTCCTACATTACTTCCATGCTTCACGGACCAAACAGATTGACCATTTCGATCATACTCAATTTGAATTGAGCAAACGGCTTCTGATACCCTTGTCAGGTAAATCTGCTTGATCCCTGAGAAGACTCCATCATCCCAAGGTCTGCCTCCATCCCCTCCCCATGGACCTGGTCCGCAAGGAGCTGGTTCTTTGATCACCCCGTAAGAAACCTGGGAAAGAGACAGAAAACATTTCATTTTTGAGAGTTTTTGATATCAAGTTCTCTGATGAAATTATGAGCAAATTACCGAATCAGCAGACTGAGTCACTAAAAAATGAATACAAAATGAATGTCAAAAAAAGATCACAGTTAAAATGTATATTTAGTATTATTTTGATAAGTTTTTCAATATCTTCATTATACTAATGTATTCATCTAATTATGTAATGGTTCTTGAAATGATTAAGGAATATACCTCTTCTAATGGTGCCTGTTTATGGAGCACCAGTTTTCCGGGCAGAGCATTGTTTATTTCAGCAGTGCTGGGTTCTTTAGGGAGGATTGCATTGCAAGGAGGTGTAGTCGGCGCTGGTGTTATTACTTTTCCTTCAATTACATGCACACCAATAGCATCAACAAACAAACCTTTTCTCCCATGGATGCCAACCACTTTCCCTTCTTTCAGCTTAGTGGTGAAATGAGTTCCTTGTTCATCTCCAAATGGTCCATACACCCTCTTGGTGGTGTGGAAAGTGAGTGACCTTATCGTTGCAGGTCCCATGTACATCAATGGTCCATAGTAACCACTTATGTGCGTCAATACTTCGAACGGAAAATCCAAAACTATCTGCAAAATCATACACAACTTGCTCATCAACCAAATCTATTCGACATAGCCGCAGACTGATGATTATAATTGGTAATAATGTTTTGCTATCTCTCAATTCACCTTGTCAGTTTTAAACCCTCCTGTTCCACCTTGTTTATTTCCCCATATGGCTTCCCCACCTTGATCATACAAAACTCTAATCCACACGATCCCAACATTACGGGATAAGTTGATTTGTCTAACTCCACTGTAGGCTCCATCATCAAAGATACTCCCGCCATTACCTCCCCAAGGTCCATATGTTATCACGCCTTCAACCTTTGAGGTTACCTTATCCGCACGAGCAATCTGAAATAAATCATTTTGGTCAAAAAAAAAAAAAAGAACCATACTTGATCTAATTGACACAAAAAAATCAAACACTTGGAAGGTATAATCCACGAAGATTCTCTTACCTTCTGTTTGTGGTCTTTAGTGGTGTCAGGCGCCTTTTCTTTCTGGTCTTTAAAAGGGCTGGGCATCTTTTCTTTCTGGTCTTTGATGGGGCTGGGTACCTTTTCTTTGTGATCTTTAATGGCGTCAGGTGCCTTCTCTGCCTTCTCTTTGTTATATTTAACAGGGAAGGGTACCTTCTCTTTGTGATGTTTGATGGGTTCAGGTTCGCGTATTTCAGTAATCTTGGGAGCAGCAGGGAAATTGCTTGGAATAGGTTTACCAGAGCCATCCTTCTGCCTCACAGCAAGAACAATATCAAAGCCCTCACCCATACTTCCTTGTATTACAGAGTAGCCAACATGTTCACTGGTGTTGGCTAAGTAGTTCTGTGAAGGATTATTCGTGTTGACCAGGTAGTTCTGTGAATGAAGTAAAGCATTGGATGGGTTTTGCTGCTGCAAAGGTTTCAGATACACTCCAATGGCATCTAAGTACCAGCCACACCTGCCATGGAACCCAACAATCTTCCCTCCTATCATAGGAAATGAAAAGTATGTCCCTTCTTGAACCCCAAATGGTCCATACTTTTTCTTGTTACTTTCAAAACTCAGTGACCTAACAAAGTTGTCCCCCACTGGTTTAAGCTGCCATAGTATCCATGAATTGATGTTAGGTACTCATCTGGATAGTCAAGCTTGACCTGCAACTCAATTATAACATGTGATTACTATGATGCGTATGTTTAGTAAGCACCTAATAAGCAACAATACTGACACTAATTTGGATATGGATCTTTTGAAGTGTAACAGTGTATAAAGTGTTTCTTAAGTTATATCCACTCACTGTGCCAATCTCTCATAGTCACGCATCCCGTTTTCAGAGTTCAGAAAATTGAAATCCCATCAACTTGTACATTCACACTCACTATGTGTCTCCTAGTTCAATTTTTGCAGGTTGAGGGAAAAATTTACCTTGTCAGTTTTGTGGCCTCCACTCCCACCGTGTTTATCAGACCAGATAGAACACCCTTTTTGATCATATTCAATTTTGATGGAGTCAATTCCGGCTCCGTGAACAATCACCAATTGCCTGACTGTAGAATATATCCCATCGTCCCAACGGGATCCTCCACCGCCTCCCCATGGCCCAACCGTTACAGGCCTCTTCCCAGGATCCTCAAAACTCTGCAATTCAGATTAATCAAAAAAATATAAAAAGCATGTTAATCAATTTGGGTCGAGATTAACACAAGCAATAAGCATTAACCATACCATTTTTTCCCTTGTGGAACAAGATTGATTGCAATAGGAGAAAGAGGAGTTGATGAGTTGGGAGGATTGGGGAAGACGAACAGGGATTTATGGCAGCAAAAGGGTGTGATCGTGGCTTAGGATTTAGTCTTAAAAAAATGATCATGAAGAAGAACTATGTAGAAGAGAAGCTAATTCGGTGATCCACCATGGGAGGAAAAGATTGAAAGGAAGGGAATCAGATGCGCCAATAGAAAATCAATTCAATTATCAGGAAACATGAAAGACCACCTTGTTTTTCTCTGAGGGTCACAGCGGAGGAAAAATCTAATGATTTCCTTTCAATAATACCTGATTCCCATTTTCTGAGAAGATTCTTCTAATGGAGGACAGCAATGCAAGTAGCAGCAGGATTGATTATCCTGATTCCAAAAGATAGTGACACTTGCACAGAAGCGACTTATTTTCCTTCCTCTGTTCCTGTTTCTCCTTAAACAAATGAACTACACTTCTTTTATTGCTTCTTCCGTTTTGGGTTCGTCTCTGAGATGATGATGCTGACGACGAAGATTCTGGTAAACGAATTTTTGGATCAGAACAGGAGGCTCATAATTGCCAGACGCACTCATACTGTGGTGCTTTTGCAGGCGGGGGGGCCGTCAGATTCTATGGAACATGTTGATCAGCTGGCGGGAAGAATGTCGGAACCATGGTTCATAAGATTGACCGGTTCGACTTATAAATGGAAGCCAATGAAAGTTAATTGAAAACTTTAATTCTATTTCTTTATTTTTTTTTCAAAATCCAACTCATGATTTTTTTTCCTTCCACCCCCTCGAATCAGAGAGAAATACATGTTATGCTACAAATTTATGAAGTATTTTGATGCAATCTTCTTGGCATGTGTTTAAAATTATATGAAGCTCGTATAACATAAAATATTATTCTGCATTCAGGACAATATCATTAAAAAAAGGTTAAAATTATTATAATGTGGATAATCCCATGTCACCTTTTGGTAATAACACCTTAGAATTATACTCCACTTTAATGGTCAATGCTGTATAACCTTTAAGAAAAATTGATATTGCAGTATATAATGTGTTTATACATCTTGTGGCCTTTAAATTGACCTTTAACATTTTAGGCACACAAATAAAAGTTGTGTGGTATTTATTAAACATTTCCAAGTGATTGAGACGTACTAGTATTGTTCAATTTCTCAGTCTTGTTCTAGTGAGTTTTTTATAGTTCTCTTAGTTTCTTTAAAAAGAAAAAAAGAAAAAGAAAATGAACAGAGAAAGAAGATGTCGTAAGTGGTAAATACCAAAAAGTGTTTTTTTTTTTTTTTGCTAAAACATAGAAATCCTCTTATTTGAGGTAACCATATTCAAGAAACTGTCGAACATTAAATGTGGACATCTTTTCTACGAAAAATTTGAATATTGATTCGTCATATTGTGAGGGACTAACCTCTTCTACTAAACTCAATTCCCGTTGATCCAAAAAGTGCAATTGATCAATGTTCTGCCTTAAAAAAAAAAAACTAAAACTCGGTATCTCCTCCAATATAACAGCCCAAGACCCTCCCAGAACTCTCCAAAAAAAAAACAGTTGGACTAGCCCAAAATCATATAATTGAAACTCCAATTTAGTGGAGATGTAATCGTTCAGGGTTTTAACTGTGCTAGAGCCCATTCATTATACAGATTTTTTTTCAAAAAAAAAAAAGGAAAGCCAGGTCATTAATTGCGTGTGAACCATGTCACTGGCCATAAATTTTGTGCTTTATTAGGCGGTCAAGGCATCTTTGCTTAAAGGAAACTTACTCCGAAACATTTAGTAAATTGGATTTCAATAGAGACCAACTCAATCGTTGATTGGCTAGCCAAGTCTGCTTCTAAGGGAGTGTGTCATTCTGATTGCGTTCTTTACTTAAAAATAAGTTATTACCTCTTCTTTTGAATCTCTTAAACAGAGATATTTATGGCGAAATTTTGTCTGATAAAGAAAGTGTAAGTATTGGATGATTTGTGTTCTTGTTGTTATAGTTTTATTTCACAAGCTTTGTGTGTGACTTTATGTAAGATAAAATCATCTATTTTACACAAAATTTTGAAAACAACTTAATGTCTTTAAAATTTTTAATATTATATTATATTTTCACAAGTGCTCTATTTTTTCTCACTCTCATCATTGATTTAAAGCTCTCGTTTCCAAAAGGCGTTGTTAAAAAAAAAGATATTTAACAAAACTTAGATTTTGCAGATTATATATCTTATAAACAGAGACATTTAAATTTTCTGAAAGTTGTCTCATAAAAAAGAATGAAGGGAGTATTATTAGCATTGATTAATGTGACTTAGAAAGAAATAAAGAAGATAAAATTAGGAAAACGTGGACGCTTTCTTACTAAAAAAGATCAAAAGGACTTTTGTATTGCAATTAATTTGAACAAATTTAAAAAGTCACATTCAAGCATCAACTAATTTAAATAAATACAAATGGATCGAATCCCATTAATATCAGTCTCTCCCAAGCATTTCCAAGCCACGTAACAAAATTCAATTTTTAATTAGTTGTCTTCAATATCAGTTGACATTACAAAACGATATAATCACGTATAAAAACCTGATATTTTTGGTAATTAAGAACCATTTAATTATCGTAAGCCTAACAATTGTCTTTGTGTGAATAATATAACTGAGCCACAGCTTTTCCTTTGCCCGACAATATTAAATAGGGTCGTGCATATGATTAATGATCTTTGCTTCTCGAGGGGCCGCCTTCCATTGTTCTGGGTAGTGTTGTTGAGCAATAAAACTATATATTAAATCAATTTCCAAAATTTGCCAATCAAAAAGTAAATCATTAGATTTATCGTCGGCAGAATATTTTATTATTTTATTATATGATATTAACTTTAGGCTTATTCTTGGTAAAAAAAAAAAAAACTTTAGGCTTATTCTTTGCAAGTCTAAAATATACAGTGCTTTTACATCTGTTTAGTCACGCAGATTATATTGTGTGTGTCTATATATATGTATATTTATATAACCCATGGCTCCTAAGGCCTATCATGAGGATTATTGGCATGATTTTATTATCATTGCTAAAAAAATTAGGAGAATTACTATAATAAGTTTTAAGGAAAGGTTTTATTAATTATTAATCCAAAAATCCGATAATAAATAAGAAACTTGCGATGGCAAGTTTTAATGTAGGAAACGATATTGTGTTTATGATATATACTTATAATTGAGAATTTTTGTCCTTAAACTTCTTGGTTGGGATTTCATAGTAATTCTGTTTGAATGATAGTTTTGTTATGTATTAACTTCATGAAAATATTTGGGCCACCATGATATTTTTAAAAGGATTAACGCAGATTTTAATCCCTCAACTTTGCTTTCATTTTGGTTTTAATTCCTCAAGTTTTAAATTATAAATTTTGATCCCTCAAATTTTTTTTTATTTATAATATTGACCCTTACAATCTAATAAAAACTTGAACCATTTTTTCTTTCGACGAACCAAAACTTATGGTTTGAACTTAAGAGACCAAAATAAAAATGAAGACAAATTTGAAAGACCAAAAATTATATTAACTTTTTAAAAACATAAAATATATAATCAAAATCCATTAATCATGCTAAAAATATGTAACGATCAATCTGTAAAATATAGCAGCTAATTAGGTAGCAGCGGCAAAGGGACAAGATTCACGTGTTTAATTAGTTGCGTTCAATTAATGAAGAAAAATGAGGTTACAAAACCTTGTGCAGCACGTTGGGTTGCAAACCTAATTTTGTTAATGAGCATTATTATTATTATTAGAGAGAAACATTATTCCAGCTAATGAGAATGCCCAGTTAACTGAATTTATTCAACAATATATGGGTTTCACGTCACAATGTAATAAAGATTGAAGAACCGTCCTGGACTTTCTCAGTCATCAACACACCAAATTCATTTTAATTTGTTTTCTTCGGAATTTTAACGCATTAATTTTAGCATCAATTCCACAAACGATGTCCAATCAATCGGTGCTGATTAATAGTCTTGGGTTTTGGCGTCGGTGGAGTACCAATATAAAAAATCACTATAACTGATATAAAAAATTATATTAAAAAAAAAGAAAAAACTTTGAAAAATTAGAAAAAAAATTTTCTTTTCTCATCTACTACTCGCTATCTATCACTATTGATGATAATTATGCATATCAAAGCGTGATTTTTTATATATTTTTTTCAAATGTAATTTTTTTAAAAATTAATCCAAACAATATTTTTTGTTGTTTTGTCCAAACTATAATATTTTTTTCTTTATAGTTTCAACCCAATTTTAATTCAAAATAAAAAATCACTATAACTGATATCAAAAATTATATTAAAAGAAAAAAGAAAAAACTTTGAAAAATTAGAAAACTTTTCTTCTCTTCTCATCCACTGCTCGCTATCTATCACTATGGATGATAATTATGCATATCAAAGTGTGATTTTTTATATATTTTTTAAATGTGATTTTTTGTTAATTATTGTCCAAACAATATTTTTTGTTACCAAAATTTGTTCTAAAAAATAATTTTATAAAATTATTTTGAGGGGAAAAAAAACAAACAAGCCCTTAATTTTTTTTTTCCTTATAGTTTCAACCCAATTTTAATTCACTCAGTACAACTTAATCGCCGCACACCTTCTTTTTTTTCCACCGGTTCTCTTTAAACTTGTATCGAAAGCAAGTGCTACAAAAGTATAAACAGTGTAAATGAAATTAAACATAAACGTTGCACATTCAAAAAAAAAAGTACATAATATTATCTGCACTTCTCCGCTCAATAATCATGATTTGTATATATAAAATGAAATAAACATAATACATCGATGAAATGAAATTTTAAAAAATGAGTGCGAGAAATGTCTGCACTTTTTTAATTTACTCAATAATCATGTTTTGTATGTAAACTGAAATTATAAATGTAGAACAAAAATTAAAAAATTAAAAATTGAGTGCGAGAAATGTCTGCACTTTTTTTTTAAAATTCAACTACCAGCTATAATACACAAAATTTCTACTAATTGTTGTGCTCGTGAGTGATAAGTTTACCATATTAAATATAGTATTTCCATTTCTGCAGCGTAGAACAAAGAGACATATACTTGATGATGCCTAGCAAATCATTGTTTTGATAAAACGTAAATATTTATAAAATGAGTATAATTTTTAAAGGGAAAAAAAATAAATTATAGTTTCTCCCGAAATTGAACAGGCCAAAAGTAGCCAAGGGTAACAACTCGAATGCCATTCAACGC